ACTAGACCATTTTATAATTTGGAGTTGATCTCAGGTACAGAGATATCCTTCTATTCAATCTGCTGATAGCACTAAGCTGAAATACTGCTTCTATTACTCTCTGGATCATTTAATAAAGTCTCTAAACTAATTACTATTAAAATTACTTCTCCTTCCAGGAGTTAGCCATTAGTGATGACTCTATTTTGCCACCACCCTGGTGCTGGAACACTATCACCTCACACCTGCACTACTGCCAACAGCCTGCTAATTGATCTCTCTGCCTCAAGTCTCTCTCTACACTGACCCTTTCTCCACTCAGTTATCAAAGTGATTTTCCTAAAACATGAGTCTGACCATCTCACACCCCTATTCAACAAGCTCCAGTAGCTCCCTATCACCTTCAGGATCAAATATAAAATCCTCTGCTTGGCATTCAAAGCCTTTCCTAACTTGGCCCCCTCCTACCTTTCCAGTCTTCTTACACCTTACTCCCCACTCCATATACTCCAAAATGTAGTGACACTGGAACAAGGATTTTCTCTCACTGGGGGATCCCTATGCCTATCTCTCCCTCTGGAAATCTACCACCTAGCCTCCCTAGCATCAAGTCTCAGCCTAAGTCTCACCTTCTGTAAGAAGCCTTTCCTAATTTTCCTAATCCTAGTGCCTTCACTCTGAGACAACACCCAATTATCCTATATATCTTGTTTGCACATAGCTGTTTGTGTGATGTCTCCTCATTATACTGCAAATGCCTCAAAAGCAAGACTTTTTTTGGGGGGCAGCTTTTCTTTGTATTCTCAGCACGTAGCACATTTCCTGGCACATAGAAGGCACTCAATCCTACTTGACTGTGCTAGCTGACTGAATGATTCTGTTCCTGTCTGACATGGCATCATCTGGTGTTGTGATTTCATTGTTGTTCAGCAGGTTTTCCTCAATACGAGTTGATGATGCTGCCTTATAGAAATTAATTTCTATCACTTCTCCTTCATTTTCTACGTTCAAAAACTCCCATTGATCTGAGCAGCCACTGAAGCATCCTTCCTTTAGATAATGATTTTAAAATGCTCCCATTTTTTTAAATTTGGAGATACAAAGAATGACCTTATAACTTTTCATATCTCCTCTTCTATAAATCTCATTTTAGCTAGTTTCTGGCTCAACCAACTAGTTACCAGACACAATGTAAAACACTTTCACCATTTCCTAAAAAGGTTGCTCATAAAAGCAGCTATGACCACCTCCTCTAAAAATTAAAAAAAAAAAAAAAATGCAAACCTGTACTCCCAAGCGTGCAAATCCAAACAATGAATTTTAAATGACCACCATTCTACTTGATAACGATAGGATAGTACAGGACTGCATTTGTACAGCAATGGGCACTGAACTGCTTCTATTTTATGACTCAGTAAATAACAATAAGATTAATTAATCTCACTTCAAATCCAGACCAGCCTATGACTCACCAGATGACCTCTCCCCCTCCAATTGGTGAGTTCCTCCCTACAACATCTATTTAAGGAAGACCCATGCCAGCTATGACCACTTCACATCTAGACCATGACTCTTACCCCCATGCAAGCACCATGCCCTCTCCATTTCCCAACTTTCCCAGGCTACCCCTACTTTTCAGCTCCCTTTTATGTGCTGTCTTCCCTCACTGTAATGTAGGCTTCTTAGGAGCAAGGATTGTCTTTCTGTTTGTATGTGTATTTTCAGGGCTTAGCACAGTGCCTAGCACACAATAAGCACTTCATAAATGCTTTATCTTTTATCTATTTTTATTTTCCCCCCAAGCTTGTCTCCCTTCACCCACCCACTTGATCCGTGGCCTATAGAGCTGTTCATCTGCTTTGTAGAGATGCTCAGGCTCAGTGACTAATACAGTTTGCCTTTTTGTTTCAGCTCCTCTCCTAGTAATATTAAGTGGTCTCTTTGTTTCCCTTCAGAAAAGAATACTTACCTAGCATCACAATATGATCGTGCTGGTTTGCTGAATATGCCCTTTATTTCGAGGTCTATATACTTGAATGATCTTCACATTGCAACTGAGGATGATACCCCAATGTGTCTTCTGAACATAACTGCTTCACAGACTTGTTTCGTCTCTTGCAGGAGCAACTGCTGGTGATTATAATCTCTCCTTTTTGTTCTTGCTGAAAATTTAGTTCTCTTGCTCATCAACATATTTAAAATACTGCCTTCACTTTTTTTTTAAAACTATGTTGTTTTGGTGATGGGCAAATAATGAAAATCATAACCATATTAATTTTAGGTGAAATCTTTGATAAAAGAATACTTCATGGGGATATACTCCATTTCCTAGATTTTCATATGACCTCTTCCTGTGAAAGGCTAGGCCACAGAAGAAACAAGGAAGGCACATCTCTCCTATAATCTATATAAGGTATAGTAGTCAAACAGAAAGTAAAATCCCCAGTTAACTAAAATTTTGAACTCTCATTGTCCATGGGATAATAGAATACCTACTTGGAGAAAGGTTTAGTGGCCTATTTCTATTTGAGTTTGACACCACAGCAGTACAGGATAATAATATATAATATATACAATAATATATAATAATAATATATAATAAGGTATTTTCAAGCTCACATTCCAGATGGTACCCTTCCAAACACAGGAATGTAGGCAGCATAGTGTAAGGATTAATGGATATATATTGCCTGCTGTTCTGTCCCCAATATAGCACCCTGCATTAATTACCTTCATCTTATTGGTATTCACTGAGGTATAAGAGAAAAGCAAGAATTTAGAGTCAAAAGAACTGCTTTCCAATCAACTCAACAAACATTTACTAAGTGTCAGCTTTGTGCCTGATGCTAGGAATACAAAGACAAAAATGAAATTGTGGCAAGTGCACCAAAAACTATGGAGAAAGGACAGAATTAGAAAAGGCTTCACAGAGTAGGTAGTATCTGTACTAAGCTTTAAAAGGAAGATGATTCTGAAAGCCAAAGATGAGAAGAGAGGCATTCCAGGCCTAGGAGACCAATTATCTGAAATTAAAGAGATGGGAAATGGACTGCCAAATTCAGGGAACAACTAGTACATGAGTTTAGTTGGAATGCAGAGTACATAAAGAGGAGTAATATGAAATAAGTCTGTTTGTCAGTCAATAAGCATTTATTAAGTGTCTACTATGTACCAGGCACTCTGCTAAGCGCTGAGCTTTAAATGCTAAGCTAAGGAGTTTGCATTTTGTCCTAAGAGGCAATAACAAGGGAGCTACTGACAGTTCTAGTCCAAGCTCTGCCAACTAACTGGTTATAAGGCCTTGGGAAAATTACTTAACCACTCTAAAGCTCAGTTTCCTATTTATACTATGTGAGGACTACATCTTAGGACCATGAAGTCTTTTCCACGTCCAAAATTTTATGTCTCTCTGATGTAATTAGCAAGGTTACTGATAGAGATCACCTTTACCAAGACTAAAGAGAACAGTCACAGGTAATTGCGAGTTACCTGGCACTACCCTAAGGTTTTCTCCCACGGCGTACCACACGGAGCAGTCAAGCCATTGCCACCTGACTTGCAGCATCTTTCAGATCCCAACCCTGAGTGCAACAAGACAACTGAGCTGCCTCGAAATATTCCTATGTCACTTCCCCACTCAGTCTTCTGTCTTCCTCAATAAAAGCAATAAAAAGAAAACTAATGGATGATGATGACATCATTTGAAGGAGAAAAGAGGAGATGCAGAAGAACCTACCAAGCATATTTACAGCTGTGGCCCAGGCAACAGAGCCTGTCACTCAAGTACAAAGATGTCAAGAATACTTTGCAAAAAAGAAAACTTCTCATTACAGTAAAAGACACAAGACCAGAGGAAAGGAAGGAGCCTTAGGACGTAGACATGAGAACACTTACGTGGGTGAATAGCTCCCCCTGCCAGGCTGAGCTCTGTGGTGTAACTGCCCGTTATTACTTATAATCTCTACCTGTCCTCCAAATACCAGTCTACCTCTGACATCAAGAGCATGAGTTAGAAGATTTAAAAACATACTGGATTTCAGAGAATTCCAGGGGAATGGAAAATGAAAAACTTCTTGTGCTCATATTGACCCATGTTTCCATTTGCCAGGGTGCAAAATGGTATGAAAACACATATAACACAGAGAAAAAGCAGCTCTCACTCTCTGAACACTACTCAACATGAATTGTGGAGGAAAGACTAATGTAATTTTCAAGTGAGCCTTTCATTTAAATTTCACAGATCAATCTAGTCCTCGGAAAAGCAGAACCCCGATAAGTCAGGAAAGAATGACCCCCCTTTCAAAACCTAAGCTATTCTGGAGTAGAAACAGATAATATAACCATAGAAAGTTAACTTTATGGGTGACAAGAAAAAGCCACTAGAAGATGACAAGCAATTCATTTTCACTTATAAAATGCAAAGTCAACACTCCAAAAGTGAAAGTCTAACAGTAAATCCTACCGAAGCTACAATTACTTTCTCCTGTGGATCCAAGTGGTAGGGAACCTAATTGTTTCGTAAATCACCCACCAGGTTTAAGGATATTGGAAGTTGTTGCTATGGTTGTTCAGTTGTTCAGTCATGTCTAATTTCATGGCTCCATGGACCACAGCATGCTAATACTGTCCGTGGGGTTTTCTCAGTAAAGATACTAGAGTGATTTGATATTTCCTCCTCCAGTGGATTAAGTCAAACAGAAGTTAAGTGACTTGCCAATGGTCTCACAGCTACTAAATGTCTGAGGCAAGATCTGAACTCCTGACTCCATGCCCATCTACCTAACTCCATATTGTAAGTGCCATAACTTTAACATTGCTGAAATTATTTTTTCCTCTTTAAACGTAAAAAGAAATTTGAAAACATTTTCCATCAATTTGAAAAGATTTTTCTATCAATATTTCCTGTGCAAAGTAGGAGGATAGGAATATTCTAGTGTTAAAGGGGAAGCTACTTATTCTCCACTCATTTTAAACACATTTCAACAACAGTAAGTCTCAGGATCATTATGTTCCATACTGACCTTTAATATATTTCGGCCATCAAATGATTCTCTTTCCCGAGGGCCCGATTTGCCTGCTAGGGCACTGTTCCTGTCTTCAGCTGTAAACATAACAAACTGAAAATTAGAAGGGTTGGTTGGAAGGTACTTTCTCTCCTTCAGTCTTAAAAAAGTCAATTCTTAAAATATTTATGCACATCTGGGAACACACTGTTAGAGAAGTTAAGTGATCTAGAATTTGAGTCCTGACTAGGCTATACTACTAACTAGCTATGTGACCTCTACAAGTCACTAAAATACTCTGGCTCCAGTTTCCTCATGGGCAAAAGGAGGGGGTTGAATAAGATGAGCTTTAAGATTCCTTCTAGCTCCATTTTATGACTGTATGGCCTTGATGCAACATTAAATAAACATACACATGCTTTACACATTAGTTTACAGTGACACTCAAATTTATAATGGTGACTAGTATCATGATTTAAAGATTTACCACAAATATGAAAATTCACTGTTCACTGAATAAAACCATCACCATTATAGAGACTTTTTTGAGTTTCCCCCCCACATTTTCACAACATACTTTCTCTTACCACCTCCCCCTCCTGGCCAAGGGCAAGCACTGCATGATAGCCAACCAGAGTGAGCAAGGCAGATTTGTCCAGTGCTGGAGGCTAACAGTATTACCAGGGGAACAAATTCAAGACACTGGTAAACCTTTGATCATGCCCTTTAACATCAACTTGTTCTAGAAAGCTTGGAATGAAGTTTGCCAAGATATTTAACATAATGACTTTTATCAAAACACTGTTAAAGAAAAGTCAACAGAGATAAATTTGTAAGCTCATTTAAATATCAGATTATTTTTCCAATTATTTTCTGAAAACACATTTTTTTTTCCTGACATTCCCCAGGAAATTTTTCTTCTCATTTTGAACATGCCATAATATATGACATAGGCATAGATTGCTATGCCAGAATTGATATATTAACAGATGCAGCAACTACTAATTGCTGCCTATTTTAGTTAGCCCGTTAGTGTCAGCTATCTAACAACTGCTTGTAAACAGAAGCCTTCTCCTAGGTAAAGATCTTAATCTATGTTTACCTAGCAAAGCCTACAACATTTTTGTACAACTCAGGATAAATTTTATAATGATATCCCAAATGTTCTAAGACTTTATAGTGATATTTAAAGGAATAGGGATATTCTATCAGAAAAAAAAAAATTCAGAACTCTTGATTCTATACCAGACTCAAGAAAGGAATTTTAAAGACTCTGACTAAGTCAGAGAGACTTTGAGACTGTTCACTATCTCAGTGTCCCCAACTGTAAAAAAGTAGCTGAATAGTGATTTGTGGAGTTGGGGGAAAGAAGTAGAAATTCTTAAATGAAATACAATATAAAATTTCAAAACACAAGTACCGTAAAATAAATAAGGAGCCAAGTCCTAGTGTGTTACAATGATTCTAACCAAACAGTACTGCTATTAAAAGTTTTCCAATAGGGTCTCTGATCACACTGTATGTCTCAGAGAATTAAAAAAAAAAACATAACTGATGGCTGCTGTAATAGAAGAGAATAGTAATATTATACACTTGTTAACCAAAACAGTATCACAAGTCCATGAAACATGCGTTGCAACTGGATTTATCACAAGAGAGAGGCACATGCATGTGGGAACTCCCTATACCAAGAAGCCCAGTGGTGTAGGGAAAGCCCTTGGTATTTAAGTTACAGGGAAAAAGAGAAGTCATAGGAGAGGGGAGAAAGGACTAATCCCCTCCCAAAGGGGAGGAGAAATCATGAATAAGTAAATTGGCAAAAGCAGCATAATTTTCCCTTGGGAAGTGCTAGACTATGAAGATATGATGGTTTGTTTAACTACAAGAGTCCTAGCTGAAAAAAGTTTCTCAGTCAGCAGACTAACTGACAACTGTCTTGACTCCCAAGGACACACAGGGAGTGCAGCTTGGGGTATAAACAACAAATTATGTCAGCTCAGGGGGAGCTTTGTCCTTGACATGTTCAGGGCCTCCTATGTACTCCAGGTACAATGTTTCTGGAAAATAAGGGAACTCCAAAAGGCAAGTTCAGGGGGCCCCTTAACACTTTTAATACTAATATTTTTGAATCTGCAATTTCATAAATGGTACATGGTCCTAATCCTGACAAGAATGGCTTATCTCACTTCTTCTAGAACTGAAACCAGGGTGCCACCAAGTGAAATAAAACATGTATATTATGCTATGCATGTTCACAATAATCTGTGTGAAATGAATTAATGAGTAAACTATATTCTATATTTACTGAGGGAGAGGTTACTCTTTGAAAGTATATTGCAATGACTCTTCCAGTAAGACAAAAAGTCTTTCTGTAATATAAATGATCTTTTCTCCCCACCCATCCCAATTGTACTTTCTGAGTTCTAATGGCAAAGTAGAAATATGAAAATTTCTTAGCTCTATACTAAATATATTCCAACTATTTCCTCCTACATTCATCAAAACAAAATATTTGATCTCAAAAACTCTAAGAATTGGCTTCTTATGATAGCCTGTCCAATTTACGCCCCAGGAATTCACTATGTATTCACCCAATTAGAGGCTATGTCTTCTAAGGCACATACCAGTGGGATCTTTCCTGAATAGAGTGTTCATGACTGTAGCATGGAGTTTCACTCTGTCCCATTCTTTCATCATCAATCCAGATAACACAAACCGTTCTACCAGCTGGTCAGCTATCAACTGCAGCCTAAGAAAATTGAGGACATATAGGGGTAAAACAGCACATAATAAAGAGACCTCATTACCAAGAGAGCTATTATTTAGTCGGGTTCCTAAATCCTCAGGAAAAATCTTTGAAATGCCTGACATGAATAGTAAATTTATATTTAATTTAATTATATTTTATTTAATTTAATAGCATATTATTTATTTCAAATAAGGCTACTACAAAATTAATTTCTCATCCACAACATCCCATCATGACTTTAGGATTACTAAGTTAGAAGCCATATTAAAACATGCAGAATCATAGAACTTAAAATAAGCAGAATCAAGGGCCTTCAAGATCATATAGTCTAATTACTCCCTCTTTTAAAGATGTGAAAACTGAAGCCCACATAGGTGAGTTCACTCACCTAAGGTCACACAGCTACTGAGTGATGGATCTAGGGCCAGACTCCAAATCTCCCAAACTCCCAGGCATGGAAGTTTTTTCTCACTACATGACACTGTCTTTTATACTATACTATATTTTAGGGATTAAGCATGTAAAAAACCAATATTAGCTCACTTCTCTTTTAGGATAAGTCAACTTCTTGATGATCAGCCAATGACTTCCAAAGGATTTAAACATTTTCCAATCACAAAACAGCTTACATTTAAACACAAAGCCATACACTAAAACATTCATCGCAAGTGTAAGGCACAGGCTGGAGACAAAGATGTCCATAACCCAGTTTTTCTCTATTCCACTGAAAACATAGGCTCTCACTTAGGAGGCATTTTCTTTTTTTATTTTTTTTATTAATTTATTTTTAGTTTTCAACAATCACTTCCATAAGCTTTTGAGTTTTAAATCTTTCTCCCCTTCCTTCCCAAACTTAGGAAGCATTTTCACATATGAACCAAAAAAAAAAAAAGAGATAAACTCAAATCTCTCATACCAAGCAGGTTTTTTTGTATCATGTTTATTCCAACTATCCCTTTGTGAAAATCAGGTACAGAAAAGGATCTTTTTTCTTTACTTGGGAAAGGAGAATGAATACTACACAAAGAAGATAAAGAAAAAAGGCAACTTTAGGGAGATAGTAGATGCTCAGAAATGTCTCTGGATATATAATGCCAGGTACTATTATGGATATTTCATAAGATCTCTATAACTTACAAACCCTTGATATTAGGAAGTTTACAGAGTTTAGGAAGGCTAATTCTATTAGAAATTAAAGGGTTTATTCAACTGAACCTATATCTTTCTATTAAAGCCAATACAAACTGCATCTGTATATTGAGACTTCAATTAACATCTAGTCTCTCCTACTTTCTTCCTTTTCCAAAAATCTATGATGCCCGTAACAGCCAAATAGCACCTACTAGAACTAATACTCTAACGGTATAACCAAAAGACTGTTAGACCAAGGGCAACTGATTTTATCTTGTCTACTGTCCCTATGACCACTATTCACTTTTCTTTCATTTTCCACCAGCAGCCACCATCAACCACACCTTTTCAATCTGAATAAAACTAATTAGAGTCCAGGATTGATATTACTATCAGGAAGGGGAAACATCATAACCACTTGTTTCCTTGGTCAGAAAAAATTTTAATATTCAGTCCAAGTATTCTATAATCCACATAAATTTTTTCATAAGGTCATATGCTAATTTGAAGTAGGCAGCAGAATTTTGTGGTTTTTTCCCCTTATTGATTAAAACTTTACATTTAAATATACATACATATATGTGTGTGTGTGTGTTTATATCAGTAAATTTAAAAATTAGCAATGACAAAGACAAAAATTATATCACCGTAGATGACACTTAAGCAAATTGATAGAGAAGAGCCTAAATAAAAATGGTGCTTTGTTATGTTCTCAAACTAATTAAGGAAATAAAACACATTTCTTTCATTTTAAATGGGACAAGACTTTTATTTTTACTATAAGAATCAGCATTGGAACACAGTCTATCCCTCTACCCAAACCAAATATATCCAAAAGTGCCTTCCCTTCCAAATACCCGAGAAGCTATACATACTTAAACAAGGTGAATTCATTCTCTTACAGTCCATTACTCATTTCTTCCATGCAGCCCTCTCATGCAGGACTAGAAAGAAATAGTCTACCCCATACAATAGTTCTTGGACATCCTGAATGTGTTAAATTTTTTTTACTCTTCAAACTTAGCTAACCAAGTGGACCAAGGTCCACTCTAAACTCAATTCAAAAAATATTAATTCTCTACAGTGATCCTCTATAATCTGGAGAGTCACTAGGAGACCAGGTCAGTTCTAGGGTCACTTAGAAGTTCCTCTCTGCTTGGCCATATGATTTAATACCTCTGCTCCAATTATCCTCTAATTCCAGTACTTAAACATTTAAAATTCCATGAACTGTCACACCTATATCATACATGCTACTTTAGGCAACAAGATAAGGAAGCTGAAGGACACACAAAATGATCAATAATTATTCATTAAGCCCCTACAACATGCCAGGTCCTGTCCTAAGCATTGGGGATACAAAGAGATAAATGAAACATATCTAATATTTCCAGCAAAAGTCCCTTGCAAAAGATACCAATTCTGCCATCCCAATGGGGGAAGCTAGATGGCACTGTGGATAGAATGCTGGGCCTGGAGTCAGGAAGACTCATCTTCCTGAGTTCAAACCTGGTCTAATACATTTACTAGCTGTGTGACCCTGGGCAAGTCACTTAATCCTGTTTGCCTCAGTTTCCTCATCTGTAAAATAAGCTAGAGAAGGAAATGGCAAATTACTCCAGTATCTTTGCCAAGAAAACCCCAAATGGGGTCATGGAGAGTTGGACACAATTGAAACAACTAAACAACAATAACCAACCCAAAAGAGTATACTGATATGATAGAAAGTCTGTTCTTTTTCTACTACCAAAAAATGTTATAACAACCTTACCTCTCACTAACATAGTAAGATTCCAAAAATCAAAACAGTTTATCACTAGGATCAATAATGAAATACTACAATATGTTAATTTTTATTTCCAATAATACTACACAAACAAGACACTTACCGGTCAGAGCCATCCTTCATGTGAACTTTAGCATAAAGAACATCCATCATGCTAGGATCATCATTCATGTACTCTATCCCCAACATCTCTGCTAACAGGGGTTTACCTCCAGTAATTTTGCTTCAAATGGGAAAAAAATAGTAAAGGAAGATTCATGTCATTAAACCAAGAGAGTCATCTACAATGAGACATGTTCAGTACACAGATCCACAACGAAATAGACTTAGTACTTCTTAATGTCATCGGTCCAAACGTAAACCAGGGCCTACTACACATTTCCCTAGAGCTAAAAGAAAAGCTAAGTAACAACTTACATTATTTATCATGGGTTACTTTTTGGCTTTTTTTTTAAATTATTAACTTAAATACAAAAAAGTGAGCATTTCTGTATATAAGATACACAACAGAGGACTGTATAAAAATTGGAAATTTCTATTTCATACTACTGATTTTTTAAAGAAAAAGTATAAATTCCACATATTACTTCTACCTGTCCTGCTTATCTACGCTTTCTTCTGAACTACTTCTGCTCATAGTGAATTAAAAAGATTTTTTTTACTCAACTTAAATGCCTAAAAAGAACATGTTCATGTACACAATAGAAAACAAAATGAGGATTATATATAAAACCATGAATCTCCATTTTACACCACTTGCTTTAAATGTAAAATAAATTCAATACGCTGCATTCAAAACTATCTGTTCATCTGTGCTTCCTTCTGAACTTTCTTCTCTTCTGTGTATTTTTAAAAATGTTTCAATGGCCCTCTTTTCTTGGCATCACTATTACTAATCTCTCTCCCTCCAACATCCCTCACATTTAGCTGAGATAAAGTGGCAGGAGCGGGTTGAATGGAACCTTATAACAAATTAGCATACTCAAGCAAAACTATTGCACACAGTGGCCATGTCCAAAAATGTACGTCTCTGAACTTTTGGTGCCCATCAGCTGTCTGGCAGTGGGTAAAATGTTTCATTATTGATCCTCTGAAAACATAGCTGATCATTACAATGATCTGAATTACTGTCAAAGTTCTTTTTTTCCTGGTTCTGCTCACTTCACTATGTCAACTGATGCTACCCAGGATTCTCTGAAATGATCTTTCATCATTTCTTACAGCATAATAATATTGCATTGCATTCCAGTACCATGATTTGTTCAGCCATTCCCTGTCAAAGAGGCAATCTAATCTCCTTAAATTATGGTTCTCTCTCTTTTTTTTTTCTCTTTTAATCTGATGTTCAGGATCACGAAATTTGTTTTGTTTGTGACTATTCCCTCTTCCTGGTATTTCTCTTAATACCCATCCCCACTTGTTTCCCTGTTGAGTTTGATATAGTTACACTCTAAACTGTTTGTGTGAGTGTTCCTTTGACCATTTCAGATCAGAATGAGGTTCATCTGAAGCCGGCTCCCCACAACCTCTTCTCCCTTCTTTCACACATGGCAATTACGAAAAACTGCAAGTTCTACCCCCTTCTTCCTCCTTTCTACATTAATACATTTCTTTTACCTTCTCATCTCCTTCCTTCTTAAAACACTCAGAATAGAACCAATCTACCAGGGCCTCTGGTTTTCTTATTTATGTCTTGAAATATCATTTAAAGAAATTATGGCTCTGAAAGGATACTTGTTTTCTCGTCCTATTAGAATGCTAAAACCACATCATCATACAGCTCCTTCCAATTACTCAAATAAATTTACCTTTATGGGTTTCTCCAGACTTTGTGTTTACACTTCAAAGTTCTTACTTAGCTCTGGCCTCTTCATCAAAAATGCTTCAAAGTCTTCTATCCCATTAAAGATCCATTTTTTCCCCTATAGGATTAAATTTACCTTTGCAAGGTAAGTTATTCTTGCCTATAAGCCTTTATCTTTTGCCTTTCAGAAAACCGTGATCAAAGATTTCCTCTCATTTTTAGTAGAAGCTGCTAGGTCTTGGTGATCCTGAGTATGGTTCTCTGGGTACTTATAATGCTTCTTTTTAGATGCTTTTCGTAGTTTTTTTTCTTTGATGTGAGGATGCTGGACTTTGTCTATGATACTGATAGGATTTTTACTTTTGGCATTTCCTTCAGCAGATGATCATTAAAATTTTTTTTTTTTAATTTTAGTGGGGGCAGCTAGGTGGCACAGTGCATAGAGCACCAGCCCTGGATTCAGGAGGACCTGAGTTCAAATCTGGCCTCAGACACATATCACTCACTAACTGGGTGACCCTGGGCAAGTCACTTAACCCCATTGCTTAAACCAAAAAAAAAAAAAAATTTTTTTAGTGATATCTTTTTATATAACCAAAATTTCTCACCCAGCAATAGCACTTCTAGTATCCCAAAGAGATCATACAAATGCGAAAAGGACCCACATGTACAAAAATATTTATAGCAGCTCTTTTTGTGGTGGCAAAGAGTTGGAAATTGAAAGGATGCCCATCAATTACGGAATGGCTGAACAAGTTGTGGTATATGAATGTAATGGAATGCTATTGTGCTATAAAAAATGATAAATAGGCAGACTTCAGCAAAACCTGGAAAGACTTGCATGGTCTGATACTAAGTGAAGTAAGCAGAACCAGGAGAACGTTGTACACAGGAACAGCCACACTGTGCGATGACTAACATTGATAGACTGAGCCCTTCTCAGCAATGCAAGGATCTAAGACATCTCCCAAAGGTCTCATGATGGAAAATGCTATCCACATACCAAGAAAGAACTATGGAGTCTGAATGCAGATTGAAGCATGCTATTTGCTAGTTTTTTTCTTCTGTTGTATTTTGTTTCCTCTTTCTGGTGGTTCCTCCTATTGGTTCTAATTCTTACTTACAACATCACTAATGTGAAAATATGTTTAATAGGAATGTATATGTATGGCCTATATCAGATTGTGTGCCATCTTGGGAAGGGAGGTGGGGAGGGAGGGGGAGAAAAATTTAAAACTCAAAAGCATATGAAAGTGATTGTTGATAAATCAAAATAAATTAATTTTTAAAAATTCTAAAAATTTCTCCTAGTATTTGTCTCCTCCCTTCCTGGACAATCATTCTATATAACAAATAATATTTTTAAAGATCTCATCAGCTCCCATTTAAATATTATCGTTATGCTGATGATTCTAAAATCTACCTATCCAGTCCTAACCTCTCTACTAATCTCCAAGCTCACATCTCCAACTGCTTTTCAGATATATCAAACTGATTGGCCAGCAGACATCTTAAACTCAACATGTCCAAAACTGATGTCATTATCTTTCCCCCTAAACTTTTCCTCCATGATAACTTCCCTATAACTGTAAAGGGCACCACCATCCTCCCAGGCCCTCAGGCTTGAAATCTAAGAGATACCCTCGATTCCTCACTATCTCTCATCTCTCATATCCAATTTCTTGCCAAGACCTATCGATTTTTAACCTTTGCAACATCTCTGGAATATGTCCCCTCCTCTCCTCTGACACCGCCACCCATTCTAGTGCAGGCCCTCATCACCTCATACCTTGAGTACGGCAATAGCCTGCTGGTGGGTCTGCCTGCCTCAAGTCTCTACTCCAATCCATCTTCCATTCTGCCACCAAAGTGATTTTCCTAAACCTCAGGTACAACCATGTCACCTTAATAGTATTTATCTAATCAATAAACTCCAGTGACTCCCTATTACCACCAAGATTAAATACAAAATCTTCTGTTTGCCGTTCAAAGCCCTTCATAACCTTGCCTCCCCCCTACCCTTCCAGTGTTTTTACACCTTATGCCCTAGAAGTGACACTGGCTCCTTGCTGCTGCACAAACAAGACATTACAACTGTACGCTCCTGACATTTTCTCTAGATGTCCCTCACGTTTGGAATGTTTTCCTCCCTCATCTATACCAACTGCCTTTCCTGGCTTCCTTTAAGTCCCAACTAAAATCTCATCTTCTACAGGGAACTTTTCCTAATCCCTCTTAATTCTAGTGCCTTCCCTTTGTTAATTATTTCCTCTTTATCCTGTATATAGTTTATTTGTACATATTTTCTTTCTTGCTGTCTCCCCAGTTGGATTTTGAGCTCTTTGAGGGTAGGGACTGTCATTTGCCTGTTTTTGCATCCCCAGCACTTAGCACAGTGCGTGGCACATAGTAGGTATTTAATAAATGTTTATTGACTGACAAAGACAAGAAAAAAAGAAAAAAATTTGATCAATATATTAAAATAGTCTGGGAACCAAAATGGAAGATCAGAGGTAGCAATCCAAATGCACTATTTCAACATTCCCCTTCAAACAACTTTAATGCCTCAAATCAAGTTTGGAGTGGCAGAGCCAACAAGAAGTTGAGAAAAGCCATTTTCCCAGTCTGGGACAATTCAAGAGGTCAGCAGTAGAGCTCTGTGATAACAAGGTGGGCACAGGGACCACAACAGTGGCAGCAGCTTCAGGAGATGGTACGGGGGTCAGACAAGTGATCAGAAAGAAATTATAGGGGATCTCTGTACTGTCAGTGGGCGTGGTACCAGGTACTATTTGTCAACAAAACTGCCCACAAGCAGTTCTAGGTTGTAATTCCAGGGCAGAGAAGAGTTCTGGTAGTTGGAAACAAGGGAGCAAGGGTCCCGCTCACAGTTCCAAGGCTAAGAGGAATGCTAGGGCTTTAGACTGCAGAGGAGTAGGAGCCCCTCCTTCATAAAGACCACAGCACACAGATCAGGAGAGCAGTAACCATACCTATCACTGCCTCACACCACCTTAGAAACACCAAAAACTTACAGACCCCCAGAATTAGCTCTGAAAACAGTAGCACAAAAAAGCCTCAAAGACTGGAATAGTGCCTCCCCACCCTCAGGTGAACAAAGTCCAATTTTAACATAAAGTTCAAAGTCAAGAAATAGGCTGGGAAAATGAGCAAACAAACAAAAAAGGAATCTGACCATCAAAAGCCACTACAGTGACAAAGAAGTGCAAGACAAAAGCTAATAGAAGACAACAATGTGAAAATAGCTACAACCAAAGCCTCAAAGAAAAATGCTAATTGGACCTAAGCGCAACAAAAATTTCTGGAAAAGTTAAAGAAAGAGATACGAGTGGCAGAGGAAAAATTGGGGGAAAAATGAGTGATACAAGAAAATTATGAAAAGAGATTAACAGTTTGGT